GGGGGGGGGGGAGATAAAGGGATTAAAGAAAAAGATGGTTTGAGAGGGTTTGCAAAAGTGAAGCATGTATTATTTAAGTTCCCCATTTTTAGTTTTTTTGCGAATAAAAAAAAAAGACAAGAATATATATGATTTGCGTGTTTACAAATTCAAATAAGGAAATGTTTTTTTTGTGTAGAAATCTAAAAAGTTGCTTTCTTGAAAATTTGTGGATTTGGGATTTATAGCTTATCTTTAGAAAACTAAGATAGTCCAGAGTCCGAATTTAATGAATTTAAGCCGAGTCTCAAATCTGCCAAAAACCGGTTTTAAGTGAGCGCCGACTTAAATCATGAAAAATTGAATACAATTTCAGGTGGAACAACCATATTTGAGCCGCGTCTCAAATTTAAGCCGCGGCTCAAATTCATTAAATTATCGATACCTAGACATGAAATATAAAATCAAATGTAAGAAATCTAATCGCAGATTCTACTTTTTTAAAAGTTCTTTTCGAGGTCTGAACAATTCTTTTTTTGAATTAAATTTTTCAATGGACACTTACAGCAGACGCGGGACAGTGGACGGTCCCATGAATAAAAAAGTGTTAAAAAGAAGTAAAGAATACTAGCTTGAGAACCCCAGCTTTGGCTGGAAAATAACAATTTTTAAATCAAGCATTTCCATAGATTTGAGTCATCAGTTATGATCAGACATACAAACAAACAGACAAACAGAGATTACAACTTTATATGTATAGAAGAAAATATAGCAGATATACATATATATTGGTTGAAAACATATGAAACGAAAATTCATACAAACATATGTGAAGTATTTTTGATAAAATATTCTCTTGCATGAAAACATGATCCTTCTAAAACGACAGATATATACTTTAGTAAGAAATAAATTAGTTTATGCAGCAAACGAATGAAAACATAGGTTAGAATGGATCAAGTCGAAGAAGAAAAAATTGCATGGTTCCAAAGATTTATTGAACAGAGGATTGATAACAGAAGCTTAAGATCATGGGAACTTTGTAAGGGGCTCATGTTATAAAAAGATTTCACGATTTTGTTTTATAAGCTTAAAAAACATAAATACGGTTAAATCAGGGCATTACATTTGCAGGATATTAAAAAACATCGTTTGCTGAAAATGTTCAAATTTGAGAGTCAGCCGGCCACGTCCCCCGAAATATTTTTGGACACCCTGTATACTGTCGGGAGACGGGTCAGAGAAGGGCAGTGGTTAAATTAAGGATTTCTTCAATTAATGTTAAACTCGGACTAACTAGACCCCAACAAGGGCCCACTAGGACCCTTTTAGGGGATTAGGACCAGGCCCTAATTATAAAGTCCACTACAAGCTGATACTATAAAGGAAAGAGTCCACAAGATCAATGCGGGGTGGTTCATTTTACATATTTATAAATAATTATACAATTTTTGATTTGAATTACAAGACACTTAAAGGAATTTAGTCTTTGCCACAAACTCTGATTTTCTTATCCCTATATGTTTGCAACCCAATTTTGGAGACCTTGGATATTTCAAACTTTGAATTCTGTTTTGATCAAGTAATTTCAGTTTGAAATATAAGGTTTTCATCATCAGGTGGTGAAGAAAGGGGATTAGAAAACGTGACTTTTCGTCATAGACTCGATTTCTTTTATTTACAGATTCAAAATTCATTATTTGCATAAGCAGTTATTTTTATATGCAAAATGGTTTCAGGGCTTTTTATGTACATATTAAAGTTAAAGACAAGCTCAGTTGCCACACAAATTTGAATTTTTTTAGATTTTTAAATATTCGACATCTATATATAAATTTGGCTTGTCTGTCTGTTTTGGTGTTTGTCTGTCATATACAAGGCAGCACATTTCTCTTCTAATCATATATACAAGGCAGCACATTTCTCTTCTAATCATGTATACAAGGCAGCACATTTCTCTTCTAATCATATACAAGGCAGCACATTTCTCTTCTAATCATGTATACAAGGCAGCACATTTCTCTAAAGTGTAATAATTGAGTTAATCCGCGTAAATCCTATAAGTCAGAAAATCCACCAAAAAAGGAGAAACTATGTCTCAGATTATAAAAGGAAATTTGCCTTGTCATACTTACAACAAAAACATTTCTTTATCTAAACTTAATCTTATGATATCCGTGCAATATCAATCTTAAAAAAGGGAAACTTTCAAAATATTATTTAATTTGGTAATATATCTGTTTTTAAAAGGACTGTCTTTGTTTTTTTTTTATCAAAAGCATGTCTAATTCTCAAAGGTACCCTTGAAATTTTAATCTAATTAATTTTCATAATTTATTTATTGTTTCCAAAGCAACAAAAGCACAAGACACTTTTCTGGAGAAAGTACACAGAAATTAATCAACAAATTAATGAAACAAAAACATCAATATCTAATGATATAATTGATCTGTCAAATAATTAATTGTAAATTTGATCCTTATTTTCGTATATCCTGGATGTAACCTTTAATATAGGACTTAAAGAGACAGACCGGTTATGTAAGGTAGTTAAACTGAGTATGCGGTGTTGTGGACAAACTCTTTATGATTCATTTGAGATATTATAAAACGTTTAAACAGATATAAAAGAGACACATAACACTTTTCCACGATGTATAATAACTGAGTTTGAGTGCATAGTCGACGTTCAAAATCATGAATTTGGGTGGATACGTTGTCTGAATCGTTTTTTTTTAAATTATTAAATATGGACGACGAAAAATAAAGTAAAAATTATACAGTAATCTAATTAGATGGTCAGGAACATATTTCTCAAAAGAAATTTGTCAATTTAACAATGCTAGAATCAATTATTTTGTTTCATCATTATTTTGAATTTCTTATTTTCTATGAATTTATTCGCAGATTTCTACAAATTCTTCAAATGTTGTCTTTTCAATAATAATTCCAGAAAATCTGCAGAAAATCTTTGTGAATAATGAGAAAATAGGAACTAATAATTGAACAAGATTACTTATTTTCGATAATAAGATTAATTTTCATTTTCTGAATCTGTTCCTATACAACTAATTAGTTTACTGTAGAATATTGTTTACATTTTATGTCGTCGTTATTTAATAATTAAAAAAAAACAATTCTGAAAACGTTTTCACCCAAAAGTACGATTTTGAACGTCGACTTTGCGGTCCAACTCAGAATTTATAGATCTTTAAAAAGTTTTATACGTCTCAAATGAATCTTAAAGAATTTGTCCACACCACTGCATACTTAGTTCAACTACCTTACATAGCCGGTCTCTCCCTTTAAAGAAAATGCATTATGTGTTATCTTATTTAACCGGAAGTATAGCAGCATGAAGTAAAATCAGACACCAGAAATATAAAGGAAAAAAAGAGTTATGCAGGAAGACAAGCCAAGGTGATCACACAAAATCTGTCCAAATTAAAGAGGAGAAAAAACAGTGTTTATACGCTAGTGACTAGAGGTCCGTCTAAACTTTATAGGACCCATTCTAATCAATTAAATGAGATTTTTCCTGTTTGATATTTTGCATTTTTTGGGGCCAGCTTTGTATTCTAAATATTTTAATATTTAAGATCTCAAAGCGATTTTATAATTTTGAATGTTAGATAAAAATTTGACTGAAAATATTCCGATACAGATGCAGGATGTATTCCGATACAGATGCAGGATGTATTCCGATACAGATGCAGGATGTATTTCGTTGTAGTTTTAAAGATTCACTATCTTACTCTTTATAGACCTCTATTTGAGTAAGAGTGAGAAAGATATCAGAAAGATTGTTCAAGTTTGGCAATTTCCTTTATTGTCTATGTAGCATAAATTCGCGGATCTCTTATTTTGGGATTGAAACAACCATTAGTGAATTTTTAGCTAGAAAAAGTAAGGATATTTCATTCACCTCCGATCAGATCCTATATAAGGTATTGTTGTGAATGGAACACGCCTCTCTTTTTAATTTGAAATTATCTTTCTAAGTACAACTTCCTACTTCACTTCCGGTAACCATACGAGATAATTTCCCACAAAAACGGCAAAACAATTAGATTAAGTTCAGGTTTAATAAAATGGATCAAATTCCAGATTTTTAAAAAGCAATTCAAATCATTTCCTTGAAACATAAATGTCCTTGAAGAGTAGGAAATGAAAGGTTGTTTCTGCAAAATTCTTCCCAAAATATGCAATTATTTCTAAAGAATGGGATATTTTTTGGTTATTTGGTTATTTTGGTGAATTAATCTCTATATCCCAGTTAGGGGTATATTGAGAATATCTGTCAATAGAATCACTGATTAACTATTTTTATTCGAACAATGTCTCCATCTTAAACAATTTAAACCATCTTAAAAGGACTATAAGACCCAATTTTCAATAAATATTCGTTTATGCAAGATCTAGGTTAGATTGAAGTTTGATATTGACAATTACTATTGAAAGAAGCAAACAAATTTTAGGAGAGAAGCAATTAAAACATTTTTCCTATCAACACAATTTAACTTTTTTCTTTGATGAAGCAAAAAATGTTTTATTTCATTTGATTTTAGTCTTTGTTTAAATAAACATTTTTTTTATCACATTAACAATTAATGACTCTATCGCAAATGAATGTTTTCTAGATATATCTGACTTTAGTGACAAAAAAAAATATATTTATAAAATTTGAAATGCCTGAAAAGTTCAAATTCTACAAAAACAAAATCAAGAGTAAGCCTTTTCTATATTGATAGATTTAGTGACAATATTAAATTACCGAAATGATAAATATGATATTCAATAATAAACTCATTTTCAAATAAATTCTTTTATTTAAATTATTCAAAACATGTTTCATCTTAAGGAATTGATCCTTTGCCACAAACTCTGATTTAATAATCTCTTCATCTTTGAAACTTGATTTGTAGATCTATGATATTTTATACAAAAAAAATCTGTTAAATCAAACAATCTAAGTTAGAGATATCAAAGGTTTTCAACATTAGGTTGCAAAGATATGATCGGGATTAGAAAATCTGAGTTTGTGGCAAAGACTCAATTGCTTTATGTGGTAAATAAATCTTTAATGATAATAATTAAAATTTTTTTTTTAATAAATCATATCATCGTAGAAGTCAGGTTCAATAGCCTTGTCATCTTTTCTAGGACAGCTTCCACTTCCGCATAGCTGTTTTAGAACTTCAGCAGCCTTAATCAGAGCACAGTGAGAACCAAAAACTGTGTGTTAGGAAGACGACATTCAAGCAATAGTAAAGTGTATTTGATGTTGTTACAGAGCAATCTAAATATAAATTTGGCTTGTCTGTCTGTCTGTCTGTTTGTCTGTTTGTTTGTTTGTATCCAATAAACGTCAAAACGGCTGAACCGATCGGGCCCAAATTTTTTGTGGGACATCTAGGGACCCCAGGGAAGGTTTATGAATGATTGAAATTTTAACAATTTGTGTTCAGAAGTTTTTTATTTTTGTATAATTTTGAAAATGCGCGAAAAAATATTATGAAATCCGCAAACTTTTTTGTTTTTGTTTTATACTGTACAAAGAGAAGATGCTCACAGATAAAGCCGCAATTAAAAGTTTAAATAGAAGATGGGCGCGAAGCGCCCTAAAAGCCTAGAAAGAAGGGCGCGAAGCGCCCTGAATTTCTAGTAGTTTTACATTATCTGAGAAATATTATTGAGGATAACTTCTAAATTTTCTTAAAGGAATTGAGTCTTTGGAACAAAATCAAATATTTAAACCTCAATATCTTTAGAACCCTTGTTGTTAACCTTTGATATTTCAAGCTCAGATTATTTGATCTAACAGAATTCATATTTTGAAATATCTAAGGTCTACACCATTTGGTTCCAACGATATAGTGATTAGAAAATCAGAGTTTGTGGCAAAGACTCAATTCCTTTGTCCTTTTGTATAAGCTATTGCTCAGAGGTTTAAATGGGTCATTATGAACCATGCATAAACATTTTTAATAGAAATTTACTTGAAATTTCATTGACATTCCCTTTTTCCACTTTTGTTAAACTTGTCACTAAAGTAAAGTATTGAATCTCAGATTTCTGACAAACCTCATTAAAAAAGAATTTAAAACGTTTTATAAATGATAAATCTAATCGTTTAACCGTTTAATAGAATCACAAAACTGCAAACAATTGTAAAAGACCTCACACTTAGGTTAATTTTAAGCACCGAGAGAATCTCTGACCGGAAACTACACCAATTTGTACAATAAACAAGCCATGGAAGGCACAAACTATAATTTTTAATTTATGAATTCTGAGATAAATAGTCTAAGTTTGAAATATGAAAGGTTTACACTATGAGGGTGTAACACGCACCTCTGCCCATCTAGTAAAAGTAAATTCAACCTATATGAAGCATAAAATCTGACCGCGTCAACCTTGTTGCACCGGCTAGTCCTGTACACTACAAACTGGGCCTGGAAAGGTTGACCCGGCTCGGAAATTCAAATGTACTACGGCTACACGTGGTAAAAAATATGGATTAAAAAACTCAGTTCTTTGAAAGTACTCCGGATAACTGGTTCTCTTCTTGTGAGATAAATCTGCAACACAGAGATCCAGACAAATATGAAAATTACTCATCAAGTTTTAAGACCGGGCCTAATTTGAAGTACCTGCTCAACCCCATTCCTAGCAGCATGCTTCAACCATGTTTCTTCATCTCCTTCCTTTAAATATGTATATATGTATTATACATACATGAACTATATTCTATTATTTTATTCACAATTCTAGCAGTTTAATAGCAAGTTTTGTTAGATTATTTTGATGTTGAAAAAGATTTCATTCTAAGTTCTATAATATCAAACCAAAAGTGTATTAGTTCCTGTCAAAGTTGTATAGGGCTATTCATTCTATTAAAGTTTTATTACATTCTATTAAAGTTTTATTACATTCTATTAAAGTTGTAATTGTAAACACGATGTGACTCAATAGATTCTAATTTTGGTTGTGAATAAAGATTTCTGTTTTAAATCATTAGGACATCTCCATCTTAATTCTATCGTTTTGCGAATTCTTAAAACCCCGGGCTCTGAAAACTTACCTCAAATCCCACCTCATGACCGTTTAGATGACCGATGGCCAGGTTGTATGCAGATTCAGGATGACCGGACCTAGCTGCCCGGCCAAACCAATGCATTGCCGCGTCCTAAAGACATTATTGACGTAACTTCTTTCATAGAGTGGTATTTTCGATTCACAACGGTACCCTTATAATCTTATTATGCTATACAGAAACAAGAGAGAAAATTGTCAGAATTGTGAGAAATGTTGATCAATATTACATTATCAGATCCAAGTTTAAAAGGATCTGTTGTGAATCAAGTGTGGCCCTCTTTCAATTGAGGCTCACATGAAATGACAACAACAGTCTTGTTAATAAATTATGGTCTTCAACATTCAAATAAAATCATTTAAAAAAAATTTGTTGTTTTTATTTAAACTTCAAACTTATTTCTGATTAAATATGATAAAGAAAGAGCTAGGGGTTGTGTACTCATTTAATATGTGACGTTTATTAGTTTCACAGAGGTATATGATGTATTGAAATTAGAAAGAAGATTGTAAAAAAAACGAGCTTGTGAACTAATTTTTATACTTACTGTTCTTCATTCACCTCACGAGCAGTCACAGTTTCATGTAAACTAACCCTATTCCCCCACCTTCCTACCTTACATCTATACACATTGGTTTACCTTAATACCCTACCTTACATCTATATATTGGTTTAAATTATCCCCCACCTTACATCTATACACATTGGTTTACCTTTTCACCCTACCTTACATCTATACACATTGGTTTACCTTATCCCCCACCTTACATCTATGTACATTGGTTTACCTTATCAACCTACCTTACAACAATACACATTGGTTTACCTTATCCCCCACCTTACATATATACACATTGGTTTACCTTATCACCCTACCTTACATCTATAAACATTGGTTGACCTTATCCCCACCTTACATCTATAAACATTGGTTTACCTTATCCCCCACCTTACATATATACACGTTGGTTTACCTTATCCTGAGGTACTCCTCTCCCATGTAGATATCTTTGTCCAACTTTATGCTGAGAATCCACGTGACCCATGCGTGCATACACGTGGGAAACCTTAGCAAAGGTGAAAATGGAACGTATACAACTGTGGACAAGGAAGACGACTTTAAGCATTCTTATGTGTATTTGATTTTGTTACAAAGCTATAGGGTTTACTAGCAGGTAGAAAATAAAGTGAAATTATTCTGTTTTGCACAATATTTGTATTTATGTTCTTAGGACTTTTTAAGACTATAAACTATAGACTATAAATGTAATTTTAAGTAACCTTCCATTTGGTGGTTGTTCATATTTATTGCAGTACCCTCTAAACCTTGTTTTGAGCAATGTATTGTAAACTTTAATCAAATTATATTCTTTTCATGAAAATTTGGCTTATAGTGTTGACTTAAATATGTAAATAATATATTACATGTATATTAAACTTATTTTTAAGTAAACAATTAAATAAACAAATATAGACTGTACAAATACCGAGATTCTTATGTACTGCATATACCTACAGTACACGCCTTCGGTTCGGTATTACTTAAACACACTCTTTTGGTACAGACACGCATACATGACGTTTACGCCCTCTGCTGGTATTAAATTCATGATAAACTAGAACTTGAACGAATTCATATTGCTTACTTTGCTGGGTTTTTTTTTCTGTAGATAAATACTTTGGGAAAGCGCCTTCGTGTACATAGTTAGAGTAATCCTTAACATTCTGTTCGTGGTATCGATCAAAGTGCATTTCAAAATAAGGAATGTTTTAGTTCGAAACTATCAAGAGAATGTTACGGACAAACATTTTTCTCATATTTTAGAATGCATTGTTGGGTATTTCAACGTTTTTTATCGGAATTTCGATTTTTCCAAAAAATAATGTTTTTTTTAAAGATTGCATGTTTTGTACCTGAAAATGAAACCATGCCGGATGTGTATAGCAGAGATACAAGAGAAAACAACAAACAATGAGCAGTACAACCTGCAGTACGTTTTCAAATTAAACAAAGGAATTGAGTCTTTGCCACACCCTCTGATTTCTAATCCCAATATCTTTGCAACCTAATATCGTAGACCTTAGATATTTTAAACTTTGAATCAAATAATCTAAGTTTGAAGATATTAAAGGTTTACATAATCAGGTTGCAAAGATAACGGGGATAGAAAATTCTTATTTCTCATTACAAACTATCACAAATAATTATATTGGTTTTAAAATGATGTTTATTACAAATAAATAATTGCTATCATGAAAGGGTCACTTGAAATTGTGCTTACAGTCCCTATAAAATTAAATATTACAGTATATTATACCTGGATAAAGATAAGAACATCTTGGAAATAAACTTCTTTAATCTCGTTAAATTTCTGTCGCGAGAAGAACGGTTTCTCCGAAAACTTGTGATTGATATTCTCCGAGTTCTTTATCGAGTTCATCTTGCTTGTGTTCATCGAGTTCATCAATTTCATCCCTTCACTCTCAATCTCAGATTTCAAGGTCTTTTCCTTTATAAAACTGATTAGTTGCCACACATTTTTATAATCCATACATAAATTTCACTAGAGGGGGATGATTCATTTGGTGTAATGTCCCGGTTTGCCTAATATTTCTGTACATGTACTGTACAGGTTGCTCCAGTTGGTATAAAGTCGGCGCGGTACTTGAAATGAACCGGAGTTTACAGTGCACTGGGAGAACAAGAAAACTCTGGAATTTGAAAACGACTTTTGACTCAATTTATGAACTTTAATGAACATGAGACAAAGCAATTTTAACTTGAATACAGATTTAATAAGTTACTTGTAAAACTTGTAAAAACATCGAATATGCTTTTATGTGTTGCTTTAATATCGTCTTCTTATTCCACAGTTTTCACTGTATCTTTGAAACCAGAGTTCGAAATATCAAAAACCTACACCAGAAGGTTGCAACATTAGAACTATTGTAAAACTTTAATTTATTTAGAGTAGTCAGGTCCTATTAGGGGAATAGGGTAGAACAGGTTTTTTATTTTATTTTCAACTTTGATCTGCGCTATTTTTGCCGCCCTTACCCCTTCATTAAATTCTGTATATGCTCCTGAAAAAATACCTGTGGATTTGTTATTTTTTCATTTGATTTAGATTTCTCCTTTCCAACTTCCTTCCGCCTTCTTCGAAGGGGTAAAAGGGGCATAGCCTCCATATTTTTATCTGTCTAAATTTTATTAAATCATATTTAGTGTAAAAATGCTCGTTAATTTCGTGTTCAATTAACTTCGAGCATGGAAAATATGTACGGGCTATATATCGGAATATGTACGGGCTATATATCGGAATATGTACGGGCTATATATCGGAATATATACGGGCTATATATCGGAATATGTAGGGGCTATATATCGGAATATGTACGGGCTATATATCAGAATATATACGGGCTGTATATCGGAATATATACGGGCTATATATCGAAATATGTACGGGATATATATAGGAATATATACGGGCTATATATCGGAATATATACGGGCTATATATCGGAATATGTACGGGCTATATATCGGATATGTACGGGCTATATATCAGAATATATACGGGCTGTATATCGGAATATATACGGGCTATATATCAGAATATATACGGGCTATATATCAGAATATATACGGGCTATATATCGGAATATGTACGGGCTATATATCGGAATATGAACGGGCTATATATCAGAATATATACTTGCTATATATCGGAATATACAGGGTGTCCCACATCATATTAGACCGAGAACGGGTCTAAATTACGATTTTCGGAACTAATTAGAAAATTTCATTAAAATGAATCATTTTAAAAAATAACATAAGGCTTATATAAAGGGCTATATATCGGAATATGTACGGGCTATATATCGGAATATGTACGGGCTATATATCGGAATAAACTCTAGTCTTCTATGCAGTGATCCAGATAATGCAAGCATTAAGGCAAAAATCATTGATAAAATTTGCCATTTCCTTCTTAAAAACTTAAGCAAGCTAAAAATAAGTGCATACAGTTTTAAAATGTCAAAAACTATAAAGGTTCAAACGACTTAGTGGGTAAAATACTTGACCAAGGCAATATGACACGTTCAATCAATAATAACCCGTATAGTGGTTAGGATGTATAAAACCTTCAGCCCACTAAGAAATAATTAGATAACAAATATGACATCGATTTCTTTTTGTCTTTGCAGCATAAATCCAAGAGTCACGTAGATCCAGAACGCTGTCAAAAGTTGAATCGAGTTTGGAAATGGAAACTGGGCCGACAAGTCCAACTTATTATCTAACTATGATAATAATTAGAGATGTCGAAATTCTGAACATATAAAATAAGTGCAAAGTGTAAAAAGAAAGTAATTTCCAAATGTATATTGTCCATGGTGGTTTAGTAGCTACTAGTGCACTGCTTTCCGTATACCCATCCCCTAGTCTACCATATCTATACAATATACGTGTTCTATTTATAACTACAATAGGGACCATATAACAATGGAATAGGAAGACGACATTTGAGAAAATTGAAAATTAAATTATGAAGTAAAATAGGTCTGTGTCCCATTCAAATTTGTTGTGTTAGTCTTTCTTATAATCCCCTTAAATACAGGGTGTTCCAATTCATATAAGATATTTGCTAGTAAGTCTGTGGATTCTCGCCTTTTTAGATAAAGAAAAAAATTCTGTCCAAAAACTTTAAAACACTGCGAACCAAAATATTAGTGTTATAGATAGTTTTTGAGATTTTTGGGACTAATCAAAAAATGAATAAAGAATGGATCATTTCAGAAAATTATATAAGATTGACTAACATGAAAATTTGCATGCAGAAAATACTAGATTTTTCGAGTATTAGAACAAAGATTTAGCCTGCTTATAAAAGTCTTTTTAAGACAGTGTCGATTTTGAAGTATCTCAACACCTTGGGCTTTGATTCTACCGCACAAACTCACCAATGATTTTCTGTAGCCCTTTACATGTATATTTTAGCTATATAAAGCACTTGTTCTTAGTCTTGGTTTTTCATAACTAATTGGAAAAATTCTCATCGATTTTTGCTGAGAGCGTGAGACCTTTAAATCACAGTGAATGTGCGTATTTTGTTGTTAAAGCCTAGAAATAATCCTATATGATATAGGACTCTCTGTCTCTGTATATAAAGTTTTTTTTAGTTAAAACCAGAAAAAAGTGGATCGAATGTCGTTTTTGATCGTCATTTTACTTAATAAATGTCGCTAAAGATTTTGCAATTGTTGCAACATGTAGTTAAAAGGGCATAATTTTAGAAATCGTTAAATACTAATCGTCATTTGATAATAATAATAAAAAAGAAAGCAAAAAAATCCACTATTGTCTGTTTCTTCCTGTTTATTGTAAAAAAAGATTGTTAAAGAATGTATTGTGTGCACAGTTATTAATCAAAATAAGAAAACAAAAGGTTTTGAAATAATTTCCATCGTTTTCAAGATTTTAATTTTAGCATAATATCGGGGGTTATAACAATTTGTGAGATAAATAAAACATTCTGAGGCCAAATTTAAAGAATTTGATCCGCAGCATAAATTTCAGACTTAATTAAAACAGGTTTTTGGAGGATTTGAGACACGGCTCAAACTTATAAAATTTGGGCTCTGTTCACATTATTTCAAACTTAATGATCGTTATTTCGAAATGTATTTCGACAGTGCAATAAATTACAGGCAAAATGTGTGACATAATTAAATATTCTCTAATTGTTTTACATTTCTTCTTTGTTCCACATCATTCAGTATCGTACAGGGTTATCCACCAAGAATTTGATACTTCAAAGACGACCTAAAAATGACGATTCAATGATAAAATTAAGTCTTCTGACTTTACTTTAGTCTTCAGCTGGGTTATTAAATGATTTAGAAAGAAAAGTTTACAGTTGAAGGAAATCATGAATACATGAAAACAGACAGTATAAATTCTGTACAGTCGTCTCTGAAGTCTCATCTCTTGTCGGTAACCTTATATCATATCATTTCTGGACTCGCTCACCCTTCCTTGAAGAAACTGTCGACTGTATTTCAAATAATTATCAATTTAAAGCATTACATGCCAGATTTTGTAGAACCATTCAGCATTTTAGGATTTAAAATTGTTGATTTTCTGTCATGCAAGTATATAAATTCCCTCAATTTTATTTCATGTACCTCCTGCATAAATCTGCAACTAAAAAAAAATCAGTTTTTAGATAGAAAAATGTTATTAACCTGTTTCTGCTAAGGCAACGGGTAAAGGATACCATATTAGGAATAAAAAATGTTAATCTTTAAATTGTGTGTGACACGAATATAAAAATGCGACAACCCCTCCAAACTTATCATTTAAACTATTTGTTTATCTAGTGTCTACTGTATTGTATATACATTGTTAACATACCTTCAAGCTGTGTAGTTTATATCAGATTAGAAAATCCTAATTTTCATAATATAGTAGAGTACAGTAGAGTAGAGTANAATAGAATAGTATAGAATAGAATAAAATACAATAGAATAGAATAGAATACAGTAGAATAGAATAGAATAGAATAGAAAAAGAAATATTTCGGAAATTTTAAATTATTTCAAGATATTTTTTTCCAATTACGTTAGAGTTCAGAGTTAAGTAAACATTTTTCAATTTTCATGTCAAACTAATGTAAATTTCACGTAAGATTGATATCTTATATGTTTTGAATTGTACCTACTCTTCTTAAAAAAATAATTGCGAAGAATAAAAATGTTTGGAATTTGTAATCTATATATACTTTGCTTGTCTGGGTGTTTGTTTGTTTGTTTGTTTGTTTGTATCCAATAAACTTCAAAATAGCTGAACAGATTAGGCCCAAATTTTGTGGGGAAGTTTTATGGATCATAAATTTTCAAAAATTTGCCTCCAACAAAATTAAATTTTCATTAAATTTGAAAATGCACAACATTTTTTAATAAAAAGTTGCGAACTTTTTTTTGTTTTTGTTTTACAATGTCTACAAAGAGAAAATGTTCACAATTAAAATAGAAGATGGGCGTGAAGCGCCCTAAAAGCCTAATATTTGTATGAAGTTGACCTTTTTTGTTTAGTTCACTTTTAGTAACATCTTAACGTTTATTGGACGCAAACAATTGATAAAAAGAGGTAATGATTGAAAAGTTTTTGGAAAATATCAATACTAGTAAACTTTTTTTTTAAGAACTATAGCTATTAAAAAACGAACATTATCAGTCACTTTAAGTTAAAACTATCTAGTTCTTAACTGTTTTCAGCATTAAATTACTTTGTGTGAATATTTGAATCGACATTCTAGTTGAATAATTTCTCATATAAAATAGAAGAATATGACCAAATCGTTGCTTGTTAAAACTAGGGCGGCACAAGTATAGGACAGGCTAGGTTGTGCCTTGTGGTAGTTTTATATTCTTTAATTAATTAAAATCAAAATAAGCAAAATTTGCTGAAGTGCCCGGCGTTGCCCAAAGAAATTTGCAAAGAAAATTACGAATTTGGAAAAACGTCGATTTTTTAAGCCTATGTTACCCCACAGGCCCCACAGGCCCCCCGAGCGTCCACTGGTGCCCTAAAATAATTCAATTAATTTGGTTCAGCCGTTTGGCCACCAATAGCATGAATGATTAACTAAAATAAATATAATAATGCTGCAAACTATGTAAAAAAAACGTTTAAAAGTCTAAAAGATTGCAATAAGATTGGATATAATCTACAATTCAGATAGAGGGAGAAAAAGATTAACATATAGAATTATTAAAATGCCTGGAACCATTTAATTAATAAAAAATAAAAAATTGTAGCAACAAACAATCTTTTTATAATTTTAAAATTTTCATATCAACGGCTTCAAAGTAGCTTAATTGAGATTAAAGTAAGACTAAAAGAAGAAATTGCCTATCGAAGGATAATTACAAAATTGTGGAAGCATAATGTGTAATGAGTATTGTGTGTATTGTTCATATACTGAATAATCTTTGTTTAAGCCAATTTAAAAATAGCTTGAGTTTAAGAATGACAGGATAGGATGTTGTTTAAACATTAAATATCTGCATCATGTTTACGGACAGGGTAGTTCAATAAACATTATATATCTGCATCATGTTTACGAACATGCCCCAATCCCCCAAGTCTGAGTCAGTTCTCACAAAGTACATATCTAGTCAAATGGAGATATATTCGCCTCATGCTAATATCATGTGTATTTGAATCAACTTTAGCTCATTATTCCATCCAATCTTGGCTTTTTACTACTGAGTTCTTTTCAAGTCTATAATATCTTTGATCAGAGTAAAAAGTTTGCTTTCTGTAATATTGCAAACTTGTCTAGAATAAAATTTTGAAATAGCATTTGCATTTCAGATTCTTGTGAAACCTTTTAAAAGCCTATAATACAAATTTAATGTTTAAAAACAGGCCTCAAAACAATACCCATGAGTAATTATGGTACACCTTGCTGCCAATCTGTCAATATATTTTATCAATTATGGGACACCCTGCTACCTGTCTGTCAATATCTTTAATGAATTATGGGACACCCTGCTACCTGTCTGTCAATGCCTTTAATGAATTATGGAATACCTTGCTACCTGTCTGTCAATGTCTTTAATGAATTATGGGACACCCTGCTACCTATCTGTCAAAGTCTTGAATGAATTATGGGACACCCTGCTACCTGTCTGTCAAAGTCTTGAATGAATTATGGGACACCCTGCTACCTAGATAGAACAGGGTGAATCAAGGATAAAACAGGGGGAATCAAGGATAGAACAGGGTGAATCAAGGATAGAACAGGGGGAATCAAGGATAGAACAGGAGGAATCAAGGATAGAACAGGGTGAATCAAGGATAGAACGGGGGGAATCAAGGATAGAACAGGAGGAATCAAGGATAGAACAGGAGGAATTAAGGATAGAACAGGGGGAATTAAGGATAGAACAGGAGGAATCAAGGATAGAACAGGAGGAATTAAGGATAGAACAGATGGAATTAAGGATAGAACAGGGGGAATCAAGTATAGAACAGGGGGAATCAAGGATAGAACAGGGTGAATCAAGGATAGAACAGGGGGAATCAAGAATAGAACTGGGTGAATCAAGAAAAGAACAGGAGGAATCAAGGATAGAACAGGGGGAATCAAGAATAGAACAGGAGGAATCAAGGATAGAACAGGGTGAATCAAGAATAGAACAGGAGGAATCAAGGATAGAACAGGGGGAATCAAGGATAGAACAGGGGGAATCAAGAATAGAACTGGGTGAATCATGGATAGAACAGGAGGAATTAAGGATAGACAGGGACAATCAAGGATAGAACAGGGTGAATCAAGGATAGAACAGGGTGAATCAAGGATAGAACAGGAGGAATCAAGGATAGAACTGTGTGAATGAAGGATAGAACAGGGTGAATCAAGAATAGAACAGGAGGAATCAAGGATGGAACAGGGGAATCATGGATAGAACAGGGGGAATCAAGGATAGAACAGGGGGAATCAAGGATAGAACAGGAGGAATCAAGGATAGAACAGGGGGAATCAAGGATAGAACAGGGGAAATCAAGGATAGAACAGAGGAATCAAGAATAGAACAGGGGTAATCATGGATAGAACAGGAGGAATCCAAGATAGAACAGGGGGAATCAAGGATAGAACAGAGGGAATCTGGGATAGAACAGGAGGAATTTTTAATTGCAATAGAGGGAATGAATGAAGAATAAATGTTGTTGTTCATTTAAAGATTCTTGTTTGAAATTCTTAAATTTATCGCCATTTGCAAAGCAGAATCTGCTCTATTAAATATAGTTGTGAGATGTTTGTTGTGTTTTTCAAGTTGAAATATGTAGAGTAAAAAATTTTTACTTTTGTACTGGACAAGTATTAGAAGTGAAGATTGATAAAGAAAACTTTGTCCGGCCTACACATGTATGTATATTGTATATACATAACTTGTATGACAGTGAGATAAGAATGTGAGTGATATTTTGAGGAGGCATTGTTTTGTATTGGGGGGCTTGATCTTTATGTGCGTGGGTGTTTAGGCTGAAATATCTGGCAAGACTCTGCATTTTCAACTGCCTGACCTAGGCAGCTAGCGGCCTGGGTCAACATCCACCCACCTATTGTTGAACAGATGACCATATAAGGAGTGAGGGAAAGTCCGGTGAAGTTGCACTGAGGATGGCTTGACCTAACGCCCTACCCCCAATGAAGGGGGTCAGGTATAAAAGCAAACTGTTCCGCTGGCCAGAGCAGAGTTAATCTTGCTGTTCAGCAGATACCTCTCCTTCCATCATGTGTGACGAAGACGTTGCCGCTCTTGTTGTTGACAATGGCTCTGGCATGTGCAAAGCTGGATTTGCTGGAGATGATGCTCCCAGAGCTGTCTTCCCCTCCATTGTTGGCCGTCCCCGTCACCAGGGTGTCATGGTTGGTATGGGACAGAAGGATGCCTATGTTGGAGATGAAGCCCAGAGCAAGAGAGGTATCCTCACCCTGAAGTACCCAGTTGAGCACGGAATCATCACCAATTGGGATGATATGGAGAAGATCTGGCATCACACCTTCTACAACGAGCTCCGTGTTGCCCCTGAGGAGCAGCCCGTCCTCCTGACTGAGGCTCCCCTAAACCCCAAAGCCAACAGAGAGAAGATGACTCAGATCATGTTTGAGACCTTCAACATGCCCGCCATGTATGTAGCTATCCAGGCTGTCCTCTCTCTCTATGCTTCTGGACGTACCACGGGTATTGTCATGGACTCTGGAGATGGTGTTTCCCACACTGTTCCCATCTATGAAGGTTATGCTCTCCCCCATGCTATCCTTCGTCTGGATCTGGCAGGTCGTGAACTGACCAACTACCTCATGAAGATCCTGACTGAGAGAGGATACTCCTTCACCACCACTGCTGAGAGGGAAATTGTCAGAGACATCAAGGAAAAGCTCTGCTATGTTGCCCTTGACTTTGAGCAGGAGATGTCTACTGCTGCTGCCTCCACCTCCCTTGAGAAGTCCTATGAGCTTCCCGATGGTCAGGTCATCACCATCGGTAATGAGAGATTCAGGTGCCCTGAGGCCCTCTTCCAGCCTTCTTTCCTTGGAATGGAGGCCTGCGGCATTCATGAGACCACCTACAACTCCATCATGAAGTGTGACGTTGATATCCGTAAGGACCTGTACGCCAACACCGTCATGTCTGGAGGTACCACCATGTACCCTGGTATTGCTGACAGAATGCAGAAGGAGATCACTGCCCTGGCTCCCTCCACCATCAAGATCAAGATCATTGCTCCCCCTGAATAAATTGATAAATACATGGATTATAAGTTACATAAGGGGATTTATTTAGGGTGGGGGGCGGCGGGCGGGGACCCTCTTTCTAAACTCCTGAGCCAGAAATCTGAACCTAAAAAGTAAATATTTCTTTAAAAAAAACATTATTTGAGCATGATAATAGTAATTATGTTGTTCTGAACTGTGCAGAGTAAAATCCTAACAGCATACGTTTATTTTGATTATTGAGGGGGCTGGGAAAGGAGTGGTGAGTGGTGACTGAAGGGGAAGGGAGGGTAAAGAGAGCTTTAAGGGAGGATAAAGAAGATTGAAGGAGGTTTTGGAAGGGGAAGGGGAGAAGGGAGGGGGAAGGGAAAGTCATTTTGAGGTAAATTCATTAAATGTTTGAGTTCCATAAAAAAGCTGAGTTTTACGGGTTGAATTTCACCAACTACTGTAAATGAAAAATGATGATTTTTAGTTGTAATCGATACGTTCTTCCATAGCCGTCTTTATATTGTAAAGATTACAAAAAATTTATTTATTTTCAAAAAAAACTTAGATCCAAAATTTATCCTTGGTCCACACTCCCTCTTCACTGACCCAACCTGAAGATAAAATAACAAACTAAAGTTTAAAGATTTCCTATTTTTACATTCAACATAATTTGAGAAAGTGACTTTTTATGACATTAAAGAATCATAGACTGGTATTTTAAAACAATTTTGAGAAGCATTTGGAAACATTTTTGTTGTAACGATGAGCCAAACTGATACAGGGTGTACTACAAAACATGACAGTTAGAATGCTTGCAATATTACCGGAGTTTGTTTAGATTTTAATTTGTTAATATCTCCGGTTTTTTTGGAAGCATAAAAAAGGCAGACCACAATTTAGAATTTAGAATTTAGAATTTAAAATATTACTAACAACTTTTTGTGAATTTAACTTAATTAAATTTTACAAATTTATGGCGCAATTTGTTTCAAAGATCTTAGGCAACCTTCAATACGTCTCTTAACTGACATTTTTTGTGGGACAATAAGAACCCAGAACTCTTTCATTCCATGAATTTTAAACCGACGACATTTAAACTAGAGTAATGTGAACCTGTGATAAGATTTGCTGGTGTAACATCAAAAGCAGGATTCCAAACTCCAACAGAAGGAAGGGCAGAGAATAGCTCACCTAAAGAAGACAATTTACAGTGAGAATACGACTTTTAAATTCAAGTTTTGACGTTAAATAGACGAACATAAGAACATAACACACCCATCTAGCAGTGTAAACAATACCATTTAACTTGATAAGTGATTTAACAAGTTACTAGTAAACTATTGACTTTGAATCAACGTCAAATATGCTGTAGTATTTTTTCATGTCGTCTTCTTTTTCAATTTTCTTGTTCTCACTGTAAACAGAAATACAAACAAAAAAATTAGACTTTTGCTTTTGTGTTAAAATTTTTCCCTTGCCAAATGATGAAGTATGAGAATAGTACGACATCGTGCAGTTTATCATGTACTGCAGTATTATAAACATACACTGAACTTCCTTACAGAGATATAGCTGCCTTTTTAGATCAGAAATACTTATGAGCAAGGTTATAATGCAAGGAAAGTTAATTACAGTTGCGTATACTCTGCGTACATATTGAAACCAGTTCTCTCTGGGCGGAATTTGTAAACAAGAATAGATGCATTAGTGTTCGTTTGGTATCCGAGGAAGTTAAAAGCATTAAATTTTGATAATTTTGATAATTCACATAACAGTTTTCTATGGCCAGAATATTTCTTTGATTTTTTTATGTGAAAGATGGATCCCATGTCAGGCTGTGACATCCGTCTTGTGTTTACATTACCGCCCAGAGACAGTACACTGCAGTAAAAAAGATGCGTACACCTCTAAAATAACCTTCCTTGCATTATAACCTTGCTTAAGAGGAAGTCCGGATTTGGCTCCTGGAAATGCAGTCTATATAAAAATTGAAAAGGAATAATTGGCAGAAATACTAACCTGGAGGACGTTCTTCAATAGGAATATTGTCTCCTGATGGACAATTCATATCCAGGGTAGACATAGGCATCCCAATATAGAATGGAATCCTATATATGGAATAAATATAAATTGATTTATGACTTTAAAGTCCCAGCTTTGACCTTAGAAATATTTTGCGGCATTCAACATAAGTAACCTGTTTTATCAATATATTTTTATGTAACTATAATCACAGAATAACCCTAGTCCTGCCATTCCCAAAATGTGGTCTGCCTTTTATGTGCTTTCATATTTACTGGAGATAAAAATGATATTTTTCAGAATGAATGGTTGTATTCAATAAATTGAAATTTAAAACTAAATTCTAAATATTTCTGCTATTTTTGAAAACAAACAAATGGCAGACCACGTTTGGGATCTGGCAGGGTTAGGACTATTCTCTGATTATTGTTTCATAAAAAAATATTTCTAAAATCAAGTTACATATAATTAATACCGCAAGCTTTTTCTAAGGTCAAAGACGACTTTAGAAAAAACATTTGCTGAAAAAAATATTTTTTGGTGTTAGCTTGGTTGGTTTTTGGTAAGTTTCTACTTTGTTTTTGAGGATTTTGGTATGTTTCTTCTTTATTTTTGAGGTTTTTGGTATGTTTCTACTTTTTTTGAGGTTTTTGGTATGTTTCTATCTTTGTTTTTGAGGTTTTTGGTATGTTTCTACTTTGTATTTGAGGTTTTTGGAATGTTTCTATCTTTGTTTTTGAGGTTTTTGGTATTTTTCTACTTTATTTTTTAGGTTTTTGGTATGTTTCTACTTTATTTTTGAGGTTTTTGGTATGTTTCTACTTTATTTTTGAGGTTTTTGGTATGTTTCTACTTGATTTTTTAGGTTTTTGGTATGAGGTTTTTGGTATGTTTCTACTTTATATTTCGGGTTTTTGGTAAGTTTCTACTTTATTTTTGAGGTTTTTGGTATGTTTCTTCTTTATTTTTGAGGTTTTTGGTATGTTTCTACTTTATTTTTGAGGTTTTTGAACTTTAAAAAGGCCGACACAAATACCGTGAACTTTCGACATTTCAAAATCATAATCTGTAAAAGCTTGCTTTTGCTAAACTTTGCAATAATTTTATCCAAAGTAAAAATATATACAATGGTAAATCAATCGTTTTGGTTAATTTTTTTCTAATTAGTGTAAGAAAAGCAATTTAAAATAATTTTTTTTTGAAATTTATAAAAATTATCAGATTTTTTTTGGGAACTCCATTAAATTCCAAAAACCTGAAAAGTTTTTATAAAACAAACCGAACTATGTTCCTCACCATTTGTGAGAAAATTTGAATTATAGACAGTTTTACTTGTGATAATTTGCCAAGACTGCCAGAGAGTAAGTTCCAATTTTGTTTGCTGTATCTCCATTCCTAGCAACCCTGAAATATGTACGATGGTGATCAAAAAACAATGGTATGACTGTCGTATTTTTTCTTTATTTTTTTTTCATGACATTTTGAAAATAATTTTGAAAAATTTAGTACAATTTAGTAAGTGAACATATTATATGGCATATACATACTAGTTAAATATATATTCGAGTAAAGTGAACATATTATATGGCATATACATACTGGTTAAATATGTATTCGAGTAAAGTAAACATATTATATGGCATATACAGCATATACATACTAGTTAAATATATATTCGAGTAAAGTGAACATATTATATGGCATATACATACTAGTTAAATATATATTCGAGTAAAGTGAACATATTATATGGCATATACATACTAGTTAAATATATATTCGAGTAAAGTGAACATATTATATGGCATATACATACTAGTTAAATATATATTCGAGTAAAGTGAACATATTATATGGCATGTACATACTAGCTCTACATTTTTTTCTTTGCTGGACTCGTTTAAACAAGTTATATTAGATTTTTCCAGGTCATGTTTAGATTTAAGAGGTTTATTTTTTAATATATATAAGAGATATAATTATAGAGAACAAATATCAGTTTCTTTCTACTTATTAAAAAATGTTAAGAAGTGCTTAGAACGTTTGTAACAATTTTACTTTTTTTAAAGATTAATTTGTAACAAAGTTGCTTTTACCTATCACAGCCTGCTATAACTGCTTGTACTTTTCCCTTTAAAGAAAAACAATGAAATTAGGAAAAAACTATTTTTTCTTGTTATTTTTAATTTAATTTAACGTTAAAAATAAAAATACAATCCGTAAACTCAAAGCTAAAACAAAAATCACATTACAAGGAATAATTTCAATTCATAAGTGTGATATAATCGTTAAAACATTTTGTAACATAATTGTAAAACATTTATTTGATTCGGAAATATAAATATGTGGTTTCAATTTTTCTTTTTAGATGATCTACTTAAACTAATCAGAATTATTGATTCTTTATCTTTAAAAAAATCGTAGCATTTTCAATAACCTGTATTTAAATGAATTTCGTGGATTTTAAATATTACTTTTTGTTAAAGAAAAAAAACAGAATACTTTTAGATTACATAACTAAAAATTAAAATGATTACTAAACCTGTTTCATAAGAAATCCTGCCATTGAATCTGTAATAAGCGTACAAGGAATATTATCCTGTACACACTCCCAGGTAGTTAGTCGAGCTCCCTGCCGTAAACATAAACTTTGCGGTACATAAACATAGACAATACAGTACATAAACATGAACAGTGCAGTGCACAAACATAAAATTTCAGTACATAAACATAAACAATTTAGTATGTGAATATAATACAGTACATAAATATAAATAATGTAGTGCATAAACATAAACAGCAAAGTACATAAAAATAAACAGCAAAGTACAGAAAAACAAACAATACAGGACATAAACATAATCAATGCTGTACATAAACATTTACAATACATTTTCTGAACAATATAGTGCATAAACACTACAATACATAAACACTACAGTACATAAACAAAACAGCACATAAATAATTACAAAAGCGTAAACAAAGCCTATAAACATAAACAATGCAGTAGATAAACATAAACAGTGCAGTACATAAACATTAACAATATAGTATACAAAAATGAACAGCGCAGTACAAAAGCATTAAAGAAGCAAATAAACATAAACAATGCAGAACACAAACATGAAGAATATGCTGTACGTAAACATAAATAATGCAGTGCATTAAACATAAACAAAGCAGTACATAACAAAAACAATACATTACATAAACATAAATAATAAGTACACAAATATAAGAATATATAGTACATAAACATAAACATTACAGTATATATATAACCACATAAAATATAAACAATGCAGTAAATAAACGTAAACAAGATAGTGCACAAAAAGAGAAGAAAAAAAATCAAGACAACAAAAGTTCAAGAAGGGGCCGCTAAAATTCCGCTACCTGATTATAAGGTCTTGTTTCACAAGCGTACACATGAACCTTTCTTCCCTTTTCTAGAGCACTTCTAACCATACCAAGAGCAGTACCATGTCCTGTACAGAACCAAACAGATTTAAGATATGATTTCGAACCCATTTGTACAAATTAAATGTAGATTTATTGTAATTGTTATTGATTCTTAACTTGTGGGGGGGGGGAGAATGAAGATCTAACTGTACCTCCAGTAGCCAGTGCTCCAGTATTACAGATGGTGAGCACTCCTCCTTCCAGTAGATTAGCTCCATTCTCACCTAGTTAAAGGGATTGTAAACATTATTTCAATGGATTCTCCTTTTAAAATATTCACGATGGTACCTTTAAAACCTTTTTCTGTGCAACAAATATAGTATTTCTATCTTAGTCTCAATAGTTCAATAATGTGGAAGATGTTGACGGTTTTTTGAGGTTTAAAAGTGTTTCATTTTGATAATTCCTATAGTTTTCCTGCTGTAGAAATGCGCAAGTCACTTTTGAACATTGAAATTCTTTAAAATGTAATTTTTCAATACCCTCAGTTTAAAAAATAACGCGCCAACCTTTCAGTTTGAAATTCTTTTTCTAAGAAACTGTTACATTGAAATTCTTTAAAGAATTTCAATGTGGAAAATTGGTGATTGCTTTTTACTCCCCCAGTCAAAAATATGGTAAAAATCTTCAAATCATTTATTTTTGCTCAGACGGAGGTCCAAATGGTACCGATGTGAATCGGCATAGCTGCCTTTCAATTACATTGCAAGTCCCTTTCAGAAGTTTTTTTCTTCTTTCCTTTATATTGAGAAAATAAGCATATCATAAACCATTTCTTCCAATTTTAACATTCTCCTTTTAGATAATAATACTTTTACCGTCAAGCCAAGTTTTAAGACCTTGATCTCCTCAGTCAATTACTTCTACTATTCGGCGCTCCAGGTGATAGGGCTGGGCGCCGTTCTTGGGGAAAGATCGTTCTTTCAAGTAAACAAAAAAAAGTAGGAACATGCCCAGCTCAAGGGCTGGGCATGTTCCTGAGGAACGAACGTTCTTTCAAGTAAACGAGCGGAACGGAAAAAAACGATTTAAAAAAAGTAGGAACACGCCCAGCCTTACCAGGTGTACCTTCTCCCCCCCCCCTTCAAAAGTCTCTGTCTCACCGAGCAGTTTATTTATCTCTACATCTTCTTCGTGGAGCTCCTGGCTTGCTTTTACCTTATCAGCAGCAGCCAGCACCTTATAGTAATCAATCAATCAATGATTAGAATAATCGATCAATTAATTAATTAATCAAACAAGAAACAATTAACCAATTATTTAGTCAACCAATCAATTTAGCAACCGATTAAACAATCAATCAATCAGTTTATCAATCAATCAATCAGTTTATCAATCGATCAATCAATTACTCAATAAATCAATCAATCAAACCTGCATAAATTAAAAAAATAATAAAATCACTTTCCAGTTTAGAATCTGCTTAATCCAACCCCGGACTAACCAGTGCTAGATGCATTCGGTTTCATCTATTTTGAATTCAATCATGTGTTCGTCAGTACTTCAACAAGCTTAAAACTTCCGGAGGTTGGAGTTGTCTTTTTATACTATTTCGTTTAAAAGCGAAAACATTATGTTTAATGGGTCAACTTGTGATTGAAAGTCACAGAACTCTGAGCTAAGGATAGCGCTATCCAATCCCATGTTTTCTGTATACCTTATCTAGCGCCCATTTCAGATTAACCGCTGTAGGTCGACTTGCTAACAATCGCTCATACGCTTCCTAAAACAAGATTAAAAGAACTGAATACTTATTTATAATCCTGAAATCTGGGCAATCCAATGTCGTAAACATAATTCAAACATCAAATTCTGGTAATATGATGGTCAAAGTTTGAAATAAATAAGGTTTGCATCTTCAGGTGCAAATATAAAAGGTGAAAAAGTTTGAGTAAGCAAGTTACGACCAAGAAATTGTGAAGTATAGTAAAGACACCCTGTATAATGAAATTGTGATGTTTAGTACAGAACCCTGTATAAATAAATCATTACGTTTGGTACAGACACCCTGTAAAAAGAAATTGTCATGTTTGGTGCATACACGTGTATATAGATTTTATTATGTTGTGTGCAGACACTCTGTATAAAGACATTTTCATGTTTAATACAGACATCTTGTATATACTTGTCCCAATAAGCATGGGAATTCAGTGACGATTTTGATATCGTCTTTGTTAATGAGTTCTTATTTAGTATGGTAATGCCTAGTATGAAAGCTATAATCCGTCTGCTAGACTTCAGAATTTGTTTTTTTTTAAATCTTTTTTTATTCCATACTGTGCTGTACATTGTCCTTTATAATATCAGAAATTCGGTATACAATACACAGTACAGTTGTTTCTCTTCACTGTTAATCTTGCAGAAATGTTACAAAACATCATACAACGTTTTGCAGAAAAACAAAACAGCCTTTAACTGTTTATACATAAAACATACTTTAGAAGACGTAAATTTACTACATTTTATGATCAATGATCAATTAAGTAGCACAACGCTAATTCTTTACAAAGATTTCTAATTCGTCTGTTAATTCCCATGTTTATTGGGACACCCTGTCGAAAGGTAAATGTGCTGACCTGAATGTTTTCCCCACCAAGCTCTGCCAATGCTAGTCCATAAGCTGCTGTGATACCAATAGCTGGGGCACCTCGTACAACCATCCCTCTTCACATTACAACGTCAAGTTTTAGTTTTTAAATCAACAAGCTTTTATATGAAGGGACAGTGAGCATAATTTTGAATGACCCTTCATGCAAAAATGGCATTGCGCGATTAACAATGGCATCTATGAAACCTTTTCTGATCAAATATAGGGAAGATATTGTCATTTTTCTAGGCTAAAAATTATTTAATTCAGATAATTCCGATATGTAAATATGCATAGTAGAACTGCGCAAGTCCCTGTTTTATAGAGAAACCTCGATAGAAAATAGTCAGTCTTTAAAATTATAAACATTGATATTCAATTCATACTTGATCAGACAACGCTTTAAAGGTTACGGTTGTGAATCGGGCATTGTCATCTTTGCATTGAGGGTATCTCGAAGTTACACTTACAGTACAGTCTCTCTACAGTACAGTACAGTACAGTACAGTACAATACAATACAGTGCAATACAGTACAGTACAGTACAATGCAGTACANTACAGTACAGTACAGTACAATACAATATAATACAGTGCAATACAGTGCAGTACAGTACAGTACAGTCTCTAATAAATTTTCTTTTCTTCAATTCATGCTTTTGAAAAGTATACCTAATGGCTTCAGCAACCTGAAAATTAATAAAATAAATAAAGATGAAATTGTGAAATATGGAAGACGACATCTGTTAAATTAAAGTTTTAATTTTAGATATTCCACTGAACATAAAGTACAGCAAATATACAGTGTAATCTTAAAACAACATTGTTAATATCAATTAGAGGAGTAAGTCCGATTTACAACGGTAATCTTGAAACAATTTGGTGAATAATGTGGAAGATTACGTCGTTTTTCTTGCTTAATAAATATCTAATCATTTCTTTATTGTTTCAGGAGCAATACATGCGCAAGTCACGTTTAAGAGAAACTACAAATGAAAATAATCAGATTTAAACACAAAAACATCAGCTATTTCAGACATAGCTTTTAAGGTTACTGTTGTTAATCAGA